GTTTTTAAAATCGACCAGGTGATCGAATCGGTCGGATGTCTGGTTATCGATTTGAATGGTTTGATCGTTCGAACCGAATACTTAGTCTGTTCTGACAGAAAAATAAAAAAAATAAAAAACGGTCAAAATCATTCGAATGGTTAACTGTCCGGTTCAGCGATTTACTGACCAAAATCAATGATTTTGGGAGGAAATCTGTTTTTTGGGAAAAATGGAATCGGTCAGGTGACCAGTTCCTAATTTTTCCGATCCAACTGTCCGGTCCGATCTGGTTTTGAAAACTATGGATAGAACCCAAACTACCAAAGTTGTTAGAAGAGTTGGGTGCTGGGTGGGGGTGGGGGGACTACTGTTTTGAAGAAGTTATATGCCTTTGTGAGTAGAGTTCCCGAAGTCCTTCTGGTTCAAGATGGAGGATGCAACCAAGAAACACAACATTTCTATTTTCCTCGAGTGTTCAGTGGTTCTTTGGCAGACGTGGAAAGTCAGATGCAAGTTGGTTTATGGGAAGGTTTCCATCGACCCTCGTAGGGTTATTGCTCCTATTTATGCGCAGCTCAAGGGCCTAGCATTTTCTTGTTCTATCTCTTGTGAAGGTAGCAACACAAATGTTTTTGCCTCATCATTCTGAGGGTGCCACACAGTGCTGGATTTGCCATCTATTAATAATAGACTTGTTCATGGGGTAGCAGGACTCAGGCCTGACATTACACTATGTTGATCTTCAGGCAAGTTCATTCAAATTTTTGCAAAAGCCAAGTCCAAATCCGGCCCATAAACATATCTACCTATTAATTGTGTTAAAGTCAATTTTGACACTTGTTGTAATAAGTAATAACCATGCTGATGCTGCTGCAGCGGCTATAGTTATTAAGGAATGATGCTGGATTATTCCATCTTGGTGGCTCGTGGAGTTAAGTTTTCTGCTTGTTCTCCTTTGGAAGTTGAAGCTTGTGCTCTCTTGAAAGCTCTTAAGCTGGTAGAGTCTCTCGAACTTCATCATGTCTTTATTGAAGGGGATGCCAAAGTGATTGTTTAATTTATTTCTTGTTGGGGGAAGATATATCAATACTATTGCTGATTACAAGATTTTGTTTCAGAAATCTTCAATTACTCAGTCTCTCCTTTGTTCCTGAATCATGTAATTATGTAGCTCATTGTATTGCTAGGTATGGTAGTTCATGTAATTACATAGTCTACTCCTCCTAAATTCCTCTTAGGGGTTTTGTATATATGCTGATATTATCTGAGCAATGAAACGATTTTGCCTGAAGGAGTAAACAAAGGACTGTTTATGAAGAAAGCAGAGATAGAGAAGGTCAGTTATTTCACCAAAGATGCAATGGAGACATGTGGCAGCTTAGGTGATGCCATATCAAAATGTAGAGACAAACAGGGTATGTTTAAAGAATTGGAGAAAAGTGTTGGGGAGTTTTAGATATTTACTAATCCTATATGTGTTCTGATCAAAGAAACCGTTCATCAGTTCTTATCGGTTCCAGTACTAGAAATATCATCAATGAGCATGCGTAGATATCACATTGTTGCAATGCCGAGGGAGCCATGGTTCATTGAGCGCATCGATACTCCACCGATCTCCTTTGAACCATTATGGCAATTTGGCAACCCTCGTAGAGCAAATGATGACAACTCGAAGCTACTGGTCTAAGTATGGGACCATTTCGATCGGTCAAGTTTGGTTCGCTGTTATGAGTCTCATTCTTTAGGTTCTTATTTCTTGTCATCAGTGAAAGCATAAAAATTGAGGTAATCTGTAGCACAAAAAATTAATTGTGCTTTATGTTATTCATTTTCATTCTTCTAAAAAGCTCTGTGCAGGTGGCCATAAACGAGTTCAAATCAGCCCCCTGCAAGATTGCCCCACCACAATGTCCAATAGCACATCTCCGCCATGTATTAAGAATGTCTCTCGATAATGACATTATCATTTTTAGTGTTATCATCAGGGAGATATTTCCAATACACAGCGGGGATGTGCTGTGGGACATTGTGGAGAGCAATCTTGTGGGGGCTGATTTGATCTTGCCATTAACCACCAGCATGAATATTTTATTGGACATTGGTCAGCGGTCAACTGTCCATTGGCTACTACTGTCATCATCATATGCCAAGGCATCTGTCAGTAAAAATCTATGCTGATGGTTCTGGAGACCTAGACTGCTGGCACAAAGCTTCTTTAAAGAATAAAAATGAGCAACATGGCACAATTATATGATGTTTTATTATATTTTTAATCAAATGGGTTCAAAATTTTTTTTCTTCTTGTCACAAAAAGAATTCATTTTTTTTGAAGACAACCGTTTGGTTTATATATATAACAATATTTTCTCATTATGCCAATTTCTACCCATTTTTATCAAAAAATAGGAATTCTAATTTTATTACTAGAAAATTATATATCTAGCTAGGATAATAATACAAAGAGCAGAAATTCTTATGAAAATATAAACAAGGAAGATGACCATGGAGTTTGAAAAGTTAAACAATCATCGTCCACTGTTTAATGAAATTACCACATGATCCCTTATACTATGGTGTTCACTAGTTTTGCAACTATGCAAATTTGATGGCTCACCAATAAGCAAATGGATAGCTTCTTCATCATTATTTTCAGACGATAGATGTTCTTTGTGCATCCTCAGCTCCTCTAGTTCCATTGCCACTTCCTTCATTGTGGGTCTTTCCTCTCCCTTCATGTTTAGACATCTCTTTGCAAGGTTGGTGATTTGTCGGAGTTGATCCTTGCTAGCTTCTTGCAATAATCTATCCTCCAAAATCTCCAAAACATTTCCTTCCTTCATCCAAGTAATAAAATAGGTGGCTAAATTCTTTTCTTTTTCAGGTCTATGAAACTCGAGTGCTTTTCTTCCGGTTAATAATTCAACAAGAACTACACCAAAACTATAAACATCACTCTTCTCTGTTAATTGACTAGTCTGAAAATATTCTGGATCTAAGTACCCCATTGTCCCTTGTACCAGTGTGGTAAATTGAGTTTGATCCAATGGAACCAATCTTGAAGCTCCAAAGTCCGACACCTTTGCCATATAGTTATCATCCAATAGTATATTGGCCGATTTAATATCTCTATGAATGATTGGAGGTGAGGCTGCTGAGTGCAAATAGGCTAATGCTAATGCAGTTTCTGTACCTATTCTTAGACGATACTCCCATGAAAATGAAGATTTATGCACTTCATCATGAATATGATGGGATAAGGTTCCATTAGTGATGAACTCGTATACTAACATTGGAACTTCGGACTCTAGGCAACAACCCAAGAGCTTCACTACGTTCTTATGGTTAATTTGGGAGAGGATAACTACCTCATTGATGAATTGTTCAACTTGACTTTCATCTTTTATTTTGGACTTCTTGATGGCAACTATCCTGTTGTTAGGTAAACAACCTTTGTATACTATACCATAGCCACCACGACCAAGGATTCGACTCTCATCATAGTTGTTGGTTGCCTTTTTGAGTTCTTCTTCTGTAAATATCTTTGCCATCTCTGCATTTCCATCCCGTGAAGAGAGCTTTTGTGTCAATAGAATACCTCCATTTTGTTGAAAGAATTTTTCTTTGAGTTTGGTTTGTTTCCTCTTTTGGATTCCCCAGTATAACCAAGAGCCAATGAATAGGAGAAGCAAGACACCAAAGCTAGTTCCTACATAAACGTGATAAACGTGTCATGAAATGAAAGTATCCAATTTGCAAGAATAAGACTTCATTTTAACACAATTCAAACATATATGTTAAAACCAGGTGAAAGAATATCCAAAATTTCAACTTCTTCCTTTATTTTTCTTCTCTTTTGTACTGAGTCGAAGAACAACTCGACTGGGAATGGGCCGAATTGATCCTTGGTAGTAGGTGATTCCCTTGTTGGATTTCAGTTGGCAAGAAAATGGATTGGATATCCTATTCAAATCCAATCCGTTTATATCATGTTCAGATAATCAATGAGCACTAACAAACCTGGAAATTGAATATTCCCCTATTAAATCTGTTATGATTTGGTTTATGATATGCTTAGGGATGGCAATTTCTACCTTACCCAGTGGATACCCGCCCCTACCTGCCCCAATGGGAAATGGGGCGGATTTTTGGGTGGAGATGAGTTTTGGGATTTCACAACCTATATGGGTATGGATAGGATACTCGTATTAGGTTAACCGACCATCCCCGATCTGCATATTATTGCAAAGCATATGAACTTATGCACCAAGTGTTGAATGTAATAATAACTTGAATTTTACACCTAGATAATTGATAGCTTATGTGTTTTTTATATGTTTAATCAAATAATTGAAAGTTTTGATGTTTGTTCATGATAATAGGAAATTAGATGTGGGTTCTAGATCCAACAACCTGCCATTAATCAGACCTATCTCACCCTTAAATGTGGGGAGAGTAGGCTCGGGGAGGGATTTGCATTTTCATGTGTGGAGAGGATTTGAATTCTAAAAATCCAACCCACTATGGTTTTTGAAGAGGGTATGAATTGGGAGGTCTAGGGAGGCAAATTGGGTCTAGAATTTACAAAATCCTCTCCACACAATCTGAAATTGCACATCTCATACATGGTCTCACTTTTATGGTGGGTCCCAGACTCACGATGAAATGTGTGGTGTCAGATCATGTTGGTAGGTGGTTGGAACGTATTTTGTTGGCAAGAGATCCCAACTCTAAAGGAATTGGGATCTCTTGCTGACAACAAAACATGTTCCAATACCCTACCAACATGATCCGGCACCACACATCTCTATAAGACTGGTACCCACCATGTATAATTTGTTGGTAGGAGATAGGGACTTCAATTATGAAGATTTTTTGTTGGTTTCTTTAGACAGATATATCTTCAACTTGCATAACATTTTTTGCTACTTGTTTTTTTTTTCAAAGTTTATTTATGGGCATGGTCCATGGCCTCATTTTCTTTTTGTAGATTCTCTTCCATGCTTAGTTTTTCATCTCTATTCTCTTCTGATAATCTTTTAAATTAAGATTCAAATTAAACCAAAAATCAAATTCAATTAATATCTATTAATCTAAATGAATTGAATTCGAATAGGAGAAGTAATATATTCTTTGGATTCAAATCGAGTTTTGATATATATCATCATTTCCTTACCGGATTGAACTCAAATATACCCTTATCCAAATTGGATTTGATCCATTTGCACCCTTACATTTTTGAGAGTACTAATAAAAAAGAATTAAAGGTCCATTTGACTCACAATCAAAATCAGAATCGAAATTAGAATGATCTATTCCCATAATCTGTTTGTTTCAGACAGGAATAGGACTGAAAATTAGAATCAACTGGAATGAGATTTCATTCCAAAGACATGGGGAGGGAATGACCATTCCCTCAAATGGGGGAATGCTATTTCACCAGGAATGGTAATGAGATTCCGATTCAGCCCTCTATTCTCACAAACCAAACAGGCCCTAAATGGAATCCTCTAAACTTGTAGGGGAGAAATTTACAATTCTCCACTTACAATAAACAATTGGAGAAGATTTGATTCTTCATTAATACAAGGCTTAGTCTAGGTTTTATTACCTAAGGCAATTTGCATCACCGAAGATCGCTTATTTTGAAGGGCAGTGCAACCAGTTCCATTTTTTCTTCCGTCTCCCTCCCAACCTGATGGGCAGGAGCAGGTATAACTCCCAGGCATATTAGTGCAAATCGCTAAAGGAGCCTTGCACTCATTCTTAGCTTCATCGGCGCATTCATTTACATCTGCAACCCATCCAATTAATTGTAATATATTGAATAATGAAAATCAAATTTCTACGCCTTTTGTACTCAGAGTGAGTGAGGAGGAAGAAGATTAATGCATACCTTGGCATCCGTCATCCAGATAAGGATTGCCGTGATAGCCAGGAGAACATTTGCAGAGATATCCGAGGCCATTGGGAGAGTTGAAGCATTCGCTGTTATTCCGGCAAGCATAAGAGGGGTCGCTTCTCGGAACATTTTCACACGTATACTTCTCTATTGCCCAGTCGAGGACACCGAGAAGTTATACCAGCTGTAGTCAACAACGAAACAATAGCTGCATGGATTGAAACCCAAGACATTACTGTGGTTATAGAAGCTCTCGAGGTTCAGCCACAACCTTTTGAACCCCTTTGGGATGAAAGTCTTGCAGCATCCCATGCCAGTACAGTTCCCACCGAAACCGATAAGGCTCTGTGGGTCGTAGCAAGTCATGGAGCATCCGCTGGTGAATTCGCGGCCCGGAGAGCCGTTGACATAGGCATCAGTGTCGCAACCGATCGCCGTGAATCTATTCTTGGTGTCGGAGAACGTGAAGGGTCTATCTGCTACGTTGAGGTCGGGTAGTGACAGATCTGAATACCCTGATTTATTGTAGCAAGCATAGCCCAAAGGGTTTAGGATGCGCAGATCGCCTAGTACCGATATTTCTAAAACTTCCCATTTATCGTACAGTAGTTTGCGACGGTCGGAAGTTCTGTCGCAGTGTAAGTTAAATCCTTCTCTGTAACAGCTTGCGTTGTCGTCCAAGCCGAACGGGTAGGGAACGGTGACGTCTCCACATCTGTCTTGGCAACAGGGCTTTGCTGTCGGCAGGGTTGATGACATCGCCGTCGCCGGCCACAAAAAAAGGAGCTGAAGCAGCAGCACAATCATAGCCATTTGTACCGAACCTCTCTGCTTTTGTTTCATGGGATATACTGATCGTTCATTACTTCATTTATTTACATGATACATCATTCATTTGCAGGCTGGATCCAGGGCTTTACTGCTTTTTACTTAATTTGCTCCAACATTGTTTGAATGAAAGCGTCTGACGTCCGTTAAAAAATTAAATTTTGGGATAAATAGACTGTACTCCCCTCGGAGATAAATCGCATCTTATCCGTGAATTTGACATCAATCCACGGTCAGAATTAACGTGAGCTAAGATTTAAGATTTGTGGAGGTGAACTGAACAGTTAAAACCCAAAAGTTAATCACTAAAATCAACGTGTAAAATGCAGTTTATCGGACGCCAGCGTCAACGTCAGAGTCCGACACATGATAGGTGGAGTGCAGGAGTTTCTGCTTACGACACGCTAGTGCTTGAATAAAAAACAAAACACGTGTTCACGTTTAATTGGGGTGGGGCCGGGGGGTCGCAAGAACTGCTTTGGCTTGTTTTGTCAAAGAATATAACACTCCATTGCAAGTTTTTTTTTTTTTTTTTTTTTTCTTGATATCTTTAGTCCATCCACCAACCCAACGCAGAAGTCTCCGCTAGCAGCAGTACTCTAAGGCTGCTAGATCATGATGGTCAAAAAGTAAAACTTATTTTTCAGATTAGCAGCACTCTACAGTCTAGGTCATTAATCATTTCAGTTTCGCAGGTAAGACCCTAAGGTTGCGTTTGGTTTAAAGGAAAAAGTAGAAAAAATAAGAAAAAGGTAAAAAAGCCTTGACAAATCTTGTAGAGAAAATGAAATTGCACTCTGGTGTACGTAGTTTTGCGGGTGCGGGTATAAACCGTATAATGTGTTTTCCTACTTAAAATGAAAATAAATTTTGCATTTTTATAAAAATGGGATGCACTCAAAATAAAAATAAATATAAAATAAGTTGGTTCCCGTTATATATGAAGACACACTAAACTATTAGTGCAAAATCTTGTTTACATCCTTCTATTCCATATGTGAGATGATTTCACTAGACAAAATGACAAATAATACCCCACAATAGCACAACAACAGCGGCCCTCCAATGAGTGGGAAACGACCACCCCGTAGCACTTCGTACCACGAAGTATTATCGTTTCCACGCCGGGACTTTACTTGGAAGCTTGTGTAGAAGTTTAAATCCCAGGCGGGGAGATAGGTAATAGGCCCGCCTGTGCTTGGGGAGGAAGCTTGCTTGTTTCTTAAGCATAAGAAGGGCGGAAAAAATTTATAAGTCTAGAGGAATGATGTGTTCACAGCAGAGGGAGATGGTCCCAACGACATTGCGGATGGAGTTCGGGTGGAGCTAACCAACGGTGACGCCGAAGTGATTCAAGACTTCGACGATTAGGGGATGAAAAGGAAGGCGCAACCCGGCAATGAGCTGCTCCCGGAAAATCACAATCTCATCCGGACCGTGGTCCCAAGAGAAGTCGCCCGTAGGTAAGCTATAAGTGTACTCCTCGGGCAGGTTGAACCGAAGTCTCTCAGACGTCATAGCGGAGGGTCCGAACTTGTCTGGCACCCGAACTAGACGAGAAGTGGATTCCAGGCTGCCAGAGGTGACCCGGACTAAAGGCCCTACCTCCGGCTCATCCAGAAGGCTGTCGAACGAGGCAGCCCGACCTGAAGTCTCCGCCTTAGGCCCTCCTAAAAGACTATCTAAGCTACCCGAACAACCCGAACTAGACACTGAAAAGGAAAGGAAATTGAAAGAAGCTAAGGGGACTCACCAAGGAAAAGCTACCGAACTAGGAAAAGTGACGCGAGCTCAAGAAACAAGCACTGAATACTGGCGAAGGAAAAGTGATCAGGGCCCCTTCTATTTATAGCCGCTATGCCCGCGCATCAACGGTCAAGATTGAATCCATCCAAGGCTCTCAGGAAAACCGACTGCATGACCCCCAAGGTGAAATCAGTTTAGCGCGAACTTTTGACGTCCGAAAACTGATAATCGTTTGACGTCCGCGCGTGAGCTGTACGCGACCCGGGTTGACCTTTGGTCGAGCCGAGCTGACCCTGGTCGAGCCAAGAGAATAGGTGGGTTTGACCAGAGAATCTCCGAACTGGACGAAGCACGCCACGGGGCAAATCCACCCGTCAGTCTGTGAACTCCCCACGTCGGGTCAAGACCCCGGGCACGGGGAGTCGGGGGCAATTGATGGAGGTAGATTTGGCCCAACCCCTTGGCTATGCGACACGTGGAAGCAATCGGGTATGACCTGGCAGGAGCGTCAGCTCAGCACAGCGACACAGCCATATCCCAAAAAGAGGCCCGAGCTTCCCAAGGAGAGGCCCCGAGCTCTCCCTAGAAGTCCCGAGCCTTGCAAGGAACCCCACAAAGGGAAAAGCCCGGACTAACCCATCTCGGGTCAGTTTGGGCCACACCCCGACACCTCGGGACAGTCCGGGCCACACTCCTATCCGGACTCAAGACTTCACCTCGTGCACCACTCCGGCACCTCGACTCCAGGTCGCGTGACTGAATAACCGTACCTGACAAAGAAGCCCGTACTCTGAGGCGGTGCGCCTGACTGATCAGGGATTTGACATATGACAACCGCACTCCAATGGCCACTTGCTACCGCCATCTCAGTTGTTGCAGAGACGGCCCTGACAGAGAAGACAGTGGCGGTTATGTCTGCTCCCCACAGGCGGTTATACCTGATCTGGCAGAGGTTTGGGAGTGAGTGCACCAGGGTGGTTATAAAGGGCCCTCTTCCCCTAGAGTAAAGGTAGGTAATATATTGTGCCTTCTGGTCTCAGAATCTCTCATTCTCCTTGCCTTCTCAAGAGTACTAACTTGAGCATCGAAGCATTCCGACCGGGTTCCTCCCCCGGAATCTCTTTTTTCCTCATTGTTTCAAGCATCTCCTGCTCCGTCAGAGGCAAGGTTACCGACAACTAGGATCGATCGGATCGTGCATCATCAGTTACTATACCATTAGGGGCTGATTTACTGACTGAAACCACCAAGATTTCACAACTGTCATGCAAGGAATTAAGTAACAACAAGGCCTGCACTTCATCATCCAGATTCAATTTCATAGTAGTCAATTGATTTATCAAAACTTGAAAATCATTCATATGTTCAGACATATTAGTCCCACTTTTATATCTCAAGTGTGCTAGTTTTCTAATCAAGGCATCCTTGTTTAAACCCATTTTCCTTTCATACATAGACTCTAATTTTTTCCATAAAACATCAGCCCTAGTTTCTTGTGCAACATGGTGAAAAATACTGTGGCTGATCTACTATCGGATTTGGCCTACAGTTTTCCTATGCATGATTCCCCATTCATCACTTGACTTGTCACTTGGCTTTGCTTCATCACCTCTTATGGGTAGGTATAAATTTTTGCAATAAAGAATGCCCTCCATTCTGGGTTTCCAAATGGCATAATTCGATGAAGTCAATTTCATCATAACACCCGAGGATTCCTCCATTTGTATCAACACAAACAATTAATTTCAGCCAACCTAGCTCTGATACTACTATTGGGTAAGTTACACTATAGTAGAAGAAATGAGTATAAAACCAATCCCAGGACAACATGAACTTTTCCCCTAAGTTTGTGTGTGAAAAATGGTTATGCCAACAACAATGATAACAAATAAACAATTTAGCCAAGTAACAAAAAAATAGATAACAATCACCACACAATAGCACACCATAATTTTTACGTGAAAAAACCCAAAATTGAGGAAAAAACCACGGGACCTCTGGTCTGTAAAAGTCTTCCACTAATTCAGAAATCAATGGGTACAATAGTCTCCTCTAGTTGCAACTAGAGGCTTACAAACATCAAGGAAGTAATCCTTGGCTCACAAGAACAGTATTAAGATCACCAAATGCAAGGTGGATACAACACAAATAGAGGTTTAGATCTCACCAAGTTGCTATAAATCTGAACTAAGAAGTAAAGAAAGGAAAAATCACCAAATCTGAATTAGTGTGGGATTCTTAACTCCAACACTTAATATCATCAAGAACGGGCTTGAAAGACACTTCCGAACTTGATCTTGAATGGAATAAGAGCCAGTTTTTTTTTTTTTTTTCTTCACAAAACTCAGAACCTGAAAAAACCCTCGGTTCTGTGTTTTTTTTCTTGTTTTTTCTCAGTTTGGGTGGTTACGAACATGATGCCCAAAAAACTGAAAAGGTGGAAGCCTTTTTCTTCCACTATATGGCTCCTTTTGGGAGCAAATAAAGGTGGGGTGGGCCCCTCATATGGGATGAACCCACACCAATTAGAAGTAAAACTATTTTCCTATTATCTCTCATTAAATCTCATATCTAAGGTATATTCTCTCATTAAATCTTA